TATTGTTTCTCTGCTTTATTTAGTTTATTGTTCCTCTGCCCTCATGTAGTTTATTGTTTCTCTGCCCTCATGTAGTTTATTGTTTCTCTGCTTCATGTAGTTTATTGTTTTTCTGCTTTATGTAGTTTATTGTTTCTCTGCTTCATGTAGTTTATTGTTTCTCTGCTTCATGTAGTTTATTGTTTCTCTGCTTCATGTAGTCTATTGTTTCTCTGCTTCATGTAGTTTATTGTTTCTCTGCTTCATGTAGTTTATTGTTTCTCTGCTTTATTTAGTTTATTGTTTCTCTGCTTTATGTAGTTTATTGTTTCTCTGCTTTATGTAGTTTATTGTTTCTCTGCTTTATGTAGTTTATTGTTTCTCTGCCTTATTCAATTTATTGTTTCTCTGCTTTATGTAGTTTACTGATGGTTTAATAATCGTAGTATATTATTTTTTCTGCTTTATTAATTGTTTTCACGGTCTGTCCATTATAGTTTGCTCAGTGTTTTTTATATACTTTATTGATGGGTTATTTTTGTGTTTTTTAACTGTTTGTTTTTGTAGATTATTCACAATCTGTTTTGTGTAGTTTATTGCCTTCGCGTTTTCTGTATCTTATTCGTGGTCTGGTTTATGTAATTTATTACTGATATGTTTTATTTGGTTTTATTCAAGGTCTATTTTCCGCAAGTTGTTTTCAGCCTGTTTGTTTTTTAGTTTCTTCGTTGTTTGTTGTATTCAATTCTAATGGAATGTCACATATGATAGTGTAAATATATTTTTTTTTACATCTTCTATAAGCTATTCAAGTGAAATTTTGGCTTTAAGAATATTTGTGGAAGTTTCTCTGGCTAAATGTTCCTTTTAATGTTAAATTGTTTGGTTTCGCAGATAGAGGAATATTTTGCACAATTGCCGAACCATAAAGTCCCCAGGGTGGGAACTGTAGGAGAGAAATACAGAGATAAACAACTAATACTTCAGCTACCCAAGCAGGATTTGGCACTGGCTTACTGTAAGTTTGTGGAAATGGACTACAGCGATAAGTTTGAAGAATTTGTTAACACAAGAAATGAGGTCGCATTAGATATTGGTTATGTCAAACCAGTCTTAACGGAGGCTGTGGTAAGTTAATAATGTATTGATTTCGTTTCTTCAGGTTATATGTAATTTGATTAATTTGCTTTATGGTACTGATTACTAATGGTACTGATTACTAATGATACTGATTACTTTATGGTACTGATTACTAATGGTACTGATTACTTTATGGTACTGATTACTAATGGTACTGATTACTTTATGGTACTGATTACTAATTAACTTTAAAGCACATCTGATGATGTACTGTTCATTACAACTGGCACTACAGGATTAATTATAAATGTTTTCAAACATACTTCTTCCTCGGTTGAAAGGGAAATATATGATATTCAATAAAAGATAAGATACGATTTCAGATTCTTACTGAACACATTTATTTTTTTTAAATGTCAGAAAGGTTTCATTGCCAATTCACATTGTCAATTTACACAAGTATGTGGCAGTGATAAAAGCTGAAATATTTATATTGTATCCAATTTCAGCAGTGATAAGAAGTAAACCAACGCAATGTCTGTTTTTGTTAAAATGTTCCAACAGTAATTGCCCGACTTTACGTATGACAATTCACAGATAAAAATAACTATACCTGGTCCATTTACACCGTTATGTTGATGAAAGTATCATTTTGGATAATTTTATAAAGCGGTTATCCAAAATATGAAAACAAAGAAAGTTTTCAACTACGAGTTTGTAAATTTGCAAAAATGCATATATATCTTTAGTTAATAACTTTGATATTTATCACAAAAAATTTAAATAATTTATTATTTAACCATGTATTTCCTGTGATAAAAAAGTTTTTTCGGCAGGAAATACGCAAAACTTTCCGGAACATATAACGATGTAGTTTGAGAATATTGGACTTCAATATTTAGATTCAAGAGATTTGCTCCATACACGTGCATAAAAGTTACTGAAAAAGGAAATTTTTCTCATTAAAAAATTTTCTTTGTCCTCACCGTGAAAAAGAAATGTAATATCGGTTGAATGAAAAATTATTTTAGCGAACGATTAAATTATTATCTACAGTAACAAATTATGCTGTGGCCTATACACATATAATCTATTGCAGTATCCTACACATGAACTTTAAAGTTTTAAAGGCATTGAATATTGCACAAAAAACACAGTGATAACTCGTCAGAGGATTGGACTTGCTAAAACCAGTGACAACACAGAAAGTACAGTTTGTTTGTTTGTAATTAAGCACAAAACTACACAATGGGCTATCTGTGCTCTACCCACCACGGGTATCGAAACCCGGATTCTAGCGTTGTAAATCCGCAGACATACCGCTGTGCCACTGGGGGGCGGAAAGTACAGACGGGAGAAGGGGCTTGGAACTAATTAGATTATAGGATACAAGTTGCTTAAACCAATGATAAGAATAAGAGCTGAAACGGAATAGGAGGGCTTAAAGCTACGTAAATCCAATTGCTAAAACCAGAGGCACACACACACTCACTGTTTGAACACTGAATTAGTGGGTTTGAAGTTCATCTTGACTACTGGATACAAGTCACTAAACCAGTGACAACACAAAGATAAGAAATGGCAGTAAAGGCTTGAAACCAATCTTGACAAACACGAATTCAATTGTTATGCCCACGGACAACAAAGTTTATAGATGGGTCAAGGGGCTCAAAACTAATGTTGCTACAGTACAGGAAACAAGTTGCTGAAACCAGCGACACCCAAAATCTTTAGAGATAAAAGAAAGAAGCTTGAGACTGATCTTGTCTACAGAATTCAGGTCTCTAAGTCCAATAATAACACACAGGTTAAAGACAGAAGTAGGGATTGAAACTAATATAGACTAAATGATTCACATTACCAAATCCATTGCCATCACACAGTTTAGAAACGAAAATAGGGAGTTGAAACCTATATTCTTTGACTAAATAGTCAAAGTTACTAAAACCAGTGCATACCACCAATCAAAAGGCGAAATTAGAGAGCTTGAAACTAACTTTGAATGCAGGATTCAAATTCCTAAAGCAAATGACAACATACGGAGTAGACAAAGAAGTAGAAGGCTTGAAACTAATCTACAGGATTAAAATGCCAAAGGCAGTAACAACTTATATATTAATAATCTTCATTACAACATTCAAGTTGCTTACTCCACAGGGTAAAGTCGGAAACAGGGGTCTTAAAATTAATTCTGTCTACAGAATTCAAGTTGCTAAAACAAGATTGTACCACTATGTAGCAGGATTCAAGTCGCTTACACCAGTGACACCTCACAGGGTAAAGTCGGAAACACGGGTCTTAAAACTAATTCTGTCTACAGAATTCAAGTTGCTAAAACAAGATTGTAACACTACATAGCAGGATTCAAGTCGCTTACACCAGTGACACCTCACAGGGTAAAGTCGGAAACACGGGTCTTAAAACTAATTCTGTCTACAGAATTCAATTTGCTAAAACAAAATTGTAACACTTTATAGCAGGGTTCAAATTGCTAAAACCAATGACATCACACAGTTTAGGCATGAGAGGAAATAGGGGAATTGAAACTAGTCTTGAATACAAGATTCAAATTGCTAAAGCAAGTAACAACACAGATTTAAACTAATCTACATAACGGAGTTCAAATTGCTAAACCCAGCGACATAACACATTTTAGACCAGGAATGAAGTAAGATGCTTGAAATTAATCTTGAGTATAGGGGTCAAATTTCTTTTAATAAATTCTGTACAAACACACTATTACAAGCCAAAGTAAAGGCTTGAAACTGATTCTGATTACACTGCAGGATTGAAATTGCTAAAAGCAGTGACAACACAGATTACAGACTGAAGAAGAAAGTTCTGTTAATAAATCCTGTACAAACACACTATTACAAGCCAAAGTAAAGGCTTGAAACTGATTCTGATTACACTGCAGGATTGAAATTGCTAAAAGCAGTGACAACACAGATTACAGACTGAAGAAGAAGGTTCTGTTAATAAATCCTGTACAAGCCAAAGTAAAGGCTTGAAACTGATTCTGATTACACTGCAGGATTGAAATTGCTAAAAGCAGTGACAACACAGATTACAGACTGAAGAAGAAGGTTCTGTTAATAAATCCTGTACAAACACACTATTACAAGCCAAAGTAAATGCTTGAAACTGATTCTGATTACACTGCAGGACTTAAAATGCTAAAAGCAGTGACAACATAGAGTTTAGGCATGAGAGGAAGTAGGGGAATTGAAACTAGTCTTGAATACAAGATTCAAATTGCTAAAAGCAGTGACAACACAAATTACAGACTGAAGAAGAAGGTTCGAAACTAATTTTTTGAACATTATTCAAGTAACTAAAACCGGATACATGACATAGAAAAAAGATGGAAGTAGAAGGCCTGAAATTAATCTTCTCTCCAGAATCTAAATTGCTAAAACAAGTAGTCCTGTAGACAACATTAAGTTGAAGTCCCGCTATTTCTATCGCTGTATTCAAGTTGCTAAAACCATTGACACCACACAGAGTAGAAAAGTAATTAAACGAACTTGAAAGAATAAAATTGCTGAAACATACACTATTAAAGTGAAACTAATTTAAACTACAAGCAGTTATACCACACAATTTAAACATGGTAGAAGTAGAGAGCTTGAAACTAATGTACACTACAGGATTTAAATGTTTAAAACTAGTAACAACATAATGTTACAGGAGGAAGTAGTGCTGAAACCATACAGTTTACAGACGGAAGAAGATTGGATTTTCTAATATTTTTGAGAATATAGTTAATTGCTTAATATAGTTATTGGTTTATAATTACTAAGTTAATTTTATTTTAGCCACCACCCCCTCCAGTGGCTCAGCGGTATGTTTGAAAACTTTTAACGCTAAAACCAGGCTTCGATATCCATGGTGGACACAGCACAGATAGCACCTTGTGGAGCTTTGTGCTTAACTATAAACAATCTTTTAACTCGCATTTTAAATATTAATATTATTTCTTCTCTATAGTTGGGATCCTATCTAGAAATAGTTTTTTTTCACTTGTAAAGCAACTTGTTAAAATTAAAGGTCCAGGATATATTTGGTATTAAACGTTTCATATTTTGTCCTTTCAACCGTATTTTAGTAATAGGTGAACCGCACTATTCTGCTAATTTAACTTCAGTTGAAAACCTGTCAATTAACAGATTTTAACCTATCTTCATTATCAGCCATGTCTAACATTCTAAAATTTTCTCTATTTACTGGTCCATTAAAACTTTATAGAGCAAGTCTTAATACTTGAAAAAGACGTGGATCTCAAATTTGCATGCTCTTGTATACGTGTTTTCAACGCCCTAGTGGTAGAACTTGTATTTAGAACACGCATGTACAATATTCAATGTTTGATAGATAGATATCCGATCTTTATATCTAACATGTTTCTGATAATTCCAGTGGATTATCTACTCACTGGCTTAAATACACATTACAATTCTACATAGTGAGTAGATAATCCATTGTAATTAACCGTGGGTTAAATACACATCACAATTCCATTTACTGATAATTCCAGTGAATTATCTACTCACTGGCTTAAACAAGTTAACAATTTACTGATAATTCCAGTGGATTATCTACTCACTGGTTTAAATACACATCACAATACTGCTTACGGTTAATTTCAATGGATTATCTACTCACTGGCTTAAACAAGTTAACAATTTACTGATAATTCCAGTGGATTATCTACTCACTGACTTAAATACACATCACAATACTACTTACGGTTAATTACAATGGATTATCTACTCACTGGGTTAAATACACATCACAATTCCATTTACTGATAATTCCAGTGGATTATCTACTTACTGGCTTAAATACACATTGCAATTCTACATACGGTTAATTCCAATAGATTATCTACTCACTGGCTTAAACAAGTTAACAATTTACTGATAATTCCAGTGTATTATCTACTCACTGACTCAAATACACATCACAATACTACTTACAGTTAATTCCAATGGATTATCTACTCACTGGCTTAAATACACATCACAATTCTACTTACGGTTAATTCT